GGCTTTCTCAGACCATAATGGAAGTAAACTATGGTATAATCCAAGTCAACCACCTGAAAATGGGAAAAATAACGAAAAAATGATAAACAACTGACAAAAACAGAATTATTTACCTTATCGAGGATTGATTGCAAATACCGGAGTAGCTGTGCGTGATCTATGGATTTGCTAGGAGGAAGACGATACGCGTAAATTACGATTATAGGCCTGAAGCGATTCCTTATAGGATCAAGCAAGAATGCGTGACTCAGGTACTGATCCATGAGACCAAACTGAACCCAAGAGGTTCCTGGAGTCGAGAGAGGGAGGTGGTACCACTAAATCTGGTCGTCTGCTTGCTCCAGCTAGAAAAAGGACCGAAAGTATAGGTATCGATCCAGCGTTCTGAGCGTACGCCAGCGACAGTTAGCGTTTTCAGCAACTAGGAAAAATAGTACGCCCGAAACGCGGATCGATGTTTAAACGTTCCTACACGCTCGAAAACCTCAAAACGCTGACGCAGACCGTGAACGCATTCCTACCCCTCTCAACTCCAGTAACTTCCAAATTATTACGCGCACAAAGAATGGTTCACACACCTTCCAACTCGATCACCATCTGCAATCACCTCTACGATTTCATATCTGGCTATGGCAGAAAAATCCTCTTCGAACGGATCGACTGTTCCTAGTTCTGATTCGTAGTCTAGCCTCTCCAGAAACGACCGTGATGGTGGAATACCGCTAAGATCCACTAGAAAACGACGGGAAGTCACAACGAATATTCACATGCTTGGTTAAACACAACAAAAAGCACTGTCTGCTCTAAAAGCAGCGTTCATGCATTGCGGGTGTATGGGATCGCGAACGATTTTCTCTTTCTGTTGCCGTATTATCGAAAATCGCGGATTTTCTTGCTCGATATGAATACTTATTTTGCGATCATTCTTTCATCTCGCTGATTCTCTTGATTAGTAAGGTATAGAGGCGACCTCAGTGCTCCATTTCTCGAGATCCAAGGTAAATTGACTCCACGAATTCTCACGTGCGTTTTATTTCGGTAGCGTCGCGTCCAGGCCACGACCAGCTGGTGGGTGAAAAATTTGCAAAACACGGAGCCCCCTCAGACTTTGTTCCTCTGCAACAACCTCCATTCTTCATCCTAACTACAACATTCCAGAACGTTCCCAACTTTCTAGCACTTCTCACAAATTTTCTAAAAAATTCCTCCACTTTTCCTCAAAAACAAAAAAAACGGAGAAAAGTCAAGCGAAAGATAACAAAGGCGAGGACGACCTCGTCCCCTTCTGCGACCAAGTACGACTCAACTCTCTAGAGATCCTCAACGTACGATGTGCACTATTCACGTTACCCGTTTTCTCGCGAGATGAATGCAATATTAGTGATAAAGGTGCAAAATAGGGTTAAAAATTATGTGGAAACTTCCTCCCTCAAGACAACCCCTTCTTATCCCTTCTAATGATAAGAACCCTCGCACAGCTGTCATCAGCACTCAGAAAGAGTAAAGTTGTGGAGCCGCATGGGGTGGGAAAGAGTGACAAACTTGGAGAAAAATAAAGCCTAGATCTCGAAAAGGTCTGGAAGGGGTAAAATAGTACAGTATCAAAAAGGATAACCAGAATGAGCAAGCCGAATCCATAATATAGACGCACAACAAAAGTACAATAAACATTTGAATTCCTCCTTGATTTTCACAACTAGATTTCCATGCCAATACTTCGGAGTGCCGCAGCTCACAAGATTACTTGGAACAAATGCTTTAGCTGAGAAAAACCCGAAGTCAATTTTTCGAACGATTGGTAATTAATCATTTGTGGTTATTCAGTACACTCGTTATCCTCTTTACTTTCGACTGGAAGACCCACATTGAGGTGAAGCAGCTGCAGCCCTGCAAGTAGGGCTGGGCATTCGCAGCCGAGCCAAACTGCTTAAATCTCAAGTGAATTACTATGCTGAGTCAAATAGCCAGGAAACCAGCATATATATGCGCGTCTCCCCAACATGGATCTCCCGACCGACGGTTACTGTCCGGAGGTCTAAACTATTCATGTCTATTTTGAAAGAGATAAAAAGTTGGAAATAGGTGTAAAATGAGAATATATGAACTTACCGCTCAAATCATCCGCAGCAAGGAGATCATCGTCAGCAAAACCGTCTTCGGGCTCTGTGAAAGCACTACTTGTCTGCCTGTCGATCGTCGACATACAACAAATACCTGTCGAAAAGACGATATTAAAGAAATTAGGGTGGGTCGTGGGATGATACACGCAGCGGCGCGTCCGAATTCGTTTCATTTTTCTGAAGCTGGGCTGCGTTCATAGTCCGTGCTTCGATTGATTCAGCGACACTACAACGGTCCAATGATTAGCAGTGGAGCGTGTTAATCGCAATGGCGCGATTTATTCGCTCGAGTCGCGGAGCATGAAATGCGCCCGTAGGCTTAGCGGAGCGCAGACGACCAGAGTCGCATCGCGTTAGCCTGGCAGAGCCCAAGTAGGCGCGCTGCAGCGTGCCTCTCCAATCCACATAAGTGCCGAAATGAGATGTAATGTACGGAAAACACACGACCATTACAAAGCTACCTAAGTTATGAAAAAAAGCACTACATAAAGCTCTGGAATTAAAACTTAGAGCAAACTGCTTAAACAGGTTGAATTCCTTCGTGAGGAAGTGGTCCCTAGGGGAGATCCTGGTTCTCACTCCAAAATGTCAGATCGACAAATATACTGGGGCTTACTAAAACTCAACCCATGAAGAGCGAATTTATTCATTAATTAATTAATGAAAGGCAGGCCCCGGGTTCAAAAATGATGGGTTTCGCAGCTCTAATATTCATGACAAGATGGTAAGCAATACAGTAGTGAGGGGAAAGAAAGGACAAAAACATACCCGAAATGCGCTATATAGAATACCATGAACCGCGCCTATACAAGACGAAGAAAGGGCGTGGTCGGACGAGTTCTCATTGTTGGTGAAAGCTCCTTCTCTTTTACCTCACTCTCACCATTCGAAATGGAGTGAATTAGCAGCTTATCAGGTAACAGTCAAAGTTGGAAGATGGGTGTCGATGTGGACAGTGGGCGGGGTCATAGCTGTGTCGCGAGCTGACGGCGCTTTCCTCACGTACTTTTGAGTTGTGAAAGTTGTACATCCTCTATGCTCACAGGCAGGACTACCACGTTAAATCAGCTGCCTGAGCATCAAATGAGTGCGGGGAGGCATGCCTTCAAATTCATTCATTTATCCATTCAATACGTATCCTGTCCTGATATTCTCCGGCTCCCCCATTCTCTGTATAGACAAACTCCTACTGTCGCAAGGTATGAAAGCAGTTCAGCCCCCCATCCCCCCATACACACCACTTGGCGTCCTTTCCTTTTCAGATACTTAGGCTTCAATGCAGTTCTTTTTATAATTTGTTCCTTGTTTTACATGAAGATTTGGTATTTTTAGCTTAAAATTTGTGTAAAAGAAATATAACGAAGGACAGTAAGCAGAAACGAAAGCATTTGGGCATGAATACTTTCCAGAAGATTGTAAAAAAAGTCAAGATAGTCATCAATACAAGCTTGACAATTCCCATGAATATCAAAGAGACAAGCGATGAGTCAGCGAACACATGAAGGAAACATTGATCGCACTGGCCCGCCCTTGTCGGTGGGGAACCTGTTTCCACGAGAACTGAATCGCACTACTAGCATCAATTTTCACAATGTGGGTGAGGGCTCGACAGTCTCAGCGGCATTACTCCAATAAAGGTGGGCATTTCGGTGCAGTGTAACGATAGGAGAGTAGGTGGAAAGAGAGCAAAGAGGGATTTAGCTCGGTTGGGTAACTGCTCTTTCTCACGATTCTCACGAAAATCTCTTTTTGCACAGAGCCATCAGTTTACCCAACAAGATGCCACAATCAGGGCACATTGTGCGTTGGGGGACTCACAGCGGGCGGTCGTATTTGCTAGCCGTTGGGAGAGCGAGGGGGGGGGGGGGTGGGGGAATGGAAAAAACTTTAAGAAAAGAATCTAGAAGATACCGGAAACATTTTAGAAAAACACGAAAGTGGAAGTTAGTTTGTAAAACTTTTCGAAGACAGTAGGCAGGATAGGGAAGAGGAGGTCGTACCAGAGAAGGAAACGGGAGGGGGTCGTATTTATGGAAAGTTTTTCCCAGCCGCACGACGTGCCCTGGCCACAATTCCACATTCGTGACCCTCGATTTCTTTTGGATGAGTTTTTACGCCCAATTCAGTAGAAGAGTCATGGTGCCACCGAGTTTGACGCAAGCGTATATTCAGCACACAAGAGGACCCGATACCAGTAGAGATGATGTGTCAGGGGTACAAATTTCTGCTCAAAAAATGAGAACGAGAACCGTAGTTACCTGGTAAACAAAGCGGTAATTTTAACCGGGCAAGGCTCAAGTGAGTCGTCTCAATTGGAGAAGGAATAACTCAGTGAATATGTATTGTCGCAAAATGCGGAAAGAGAGTTGGCGCTCACTTCGGAACCAAGGTCACACTATCCACTTGAGCGATTTTGCAAAAACACATCGGATGCGAAATCAAGCGAGAACAACTCCAAATCAATGGAGAATCGTACCTTCGCAATATAAAAGATATCTACAAAAATTTTACCAAAGAACAGAAGATAATACTTCACCTACATTTAGGCGTTTAATAGACTGCGGCGTCTGCAAGCCACACTTGAAACACTTGATCTTTCCCAATTTATTTTGCTTCAAATCAAATCAAATATGCTTTTACAAAACCTCTCTAAGGATACTCTTCCTTGATTCAAAAAGTGTAACATATTTTGCACTAATTCTTACGTCATTTCAGATGTACGGCAGCATAAAACTGTTTCAAATTGGACGGCTAGAAGGACATGTTTCGCGTCAGATGAAGGTTATCTGCCGTTGCATGTCAACAGACGATGTGTGTGAGGCTTTGAGTTCGTTGAAATTGATTTTCCTTCCAGTTTATTGATGTAAGAGTTTCTGCTAATCTAGATACGGCGAAATTTCGTAAGGTTCTTCGAAAACCATGACCATATTCACGTGCCATCGTCTTCATTGTTGCCTCCTACTGAGGATGGTTCGCTGCTGTTCACCAATGCTGGAATGAATCAGGTACAGTTGATATCGTCGCAGTGCGGCGGGGCGTGTCAGGAGGCGTGGTATGAGTCGCGGCGTTTTCTGCTATTGGTTGTTTTCTGCCTGGAACACCATGGCAAGAAAATGCAGCCGCCGGTAGACTCATTTCGCGCCTCATGACTCCATCCTTCCTTTTGCAACGACACCGGCCATAAGTGCTTTGAACTTTCCTTTTTCGTTGAGTTTTTGTATGGATTATGTATGTACTTTACTTTATTTTGCGCCTTTGTTAGTGCCTGCAATGAGACTAGCTGCACTGGAGAATGAAAGAACTCGCAGAGAACTTTCGAACTGGAAACAGGGTGAAACATCGGTAATGGTGGAATGACAGAGTCAGTGCAACCCCCGCTCACTCCTGCGGTACCACCCTCTCACAAA